AGTGATATCCTTTGCCTTCAGAAACTTCTCCTTCCTCTGAGATCTTTCTGTAATATATGGAAGACCCAGTTTCATTCCCTCATGCTGAACACTGTAAATGATGTGCTAAGAACACTTCTATGTTGTTTCAGTTACCAGGAGTTTTAAAATAGAGCATATGACTTGTAAATATCCAGAAGATGTTGACTCACTGATGAAATGTAGGCTTCAATTTCAAAGTTTTCAAATCTCCACCAAAGTCCTGGATGTTCAAGTAACCCCTTAGGAGAAAACAAAACTCCCTCCCACTGAGAAAATCATTAAGTCCATTAAGTCCAATAACAGTACTATGACCCCCATCCCAAAGCCTGCCTCCCCACCAACCTGGGTTTTAACTATGGATCTGCTGTAGAGGGAGAATCACCGTAACTAATAGAACAAGTGATGGAGGAGGAGACGAAAGTCACTGTGAATCAACAGTGAGCTAGCACTCATTCACTACAATGATTAATTACGTTTCTGCTGGAGTCCCTGGGAGCAAGATAATCATTCTTAGGTCACACTGCCTAGAGAAGCACAAAATAGCACTAGTTAGACAATAATTGCATCGAGGTCACAGGTAAAAGCATATCAGCTCTCCTTAGAAACAAGCAACATCAGGGCTAGAGAGATAGTAAACTGGGTAAGGCGTAACGCCTTACACAACTTTGACTGGGTACAAGCCCCAAATTCCACCCATAAAGATTCCTGAGCACAGATCCAGGAGTAAGCCCCGAGCACTGCTGGCATGACCCCAAAACAAAACAAAAACAAGAAAAACAATGCAAACAGTATGTATAAAATTAACATGAAATGGCAAAATAACTAATGTATTTGACTGGTTAACTTCAAATAAAAATAAGCTCATTAGGGTAAGTGATGTGGCTTAGTCATCTCACTCAACCAATTAGTATTCAACCAGTACAAAAGGTCATCTTGACCCGGGTTAGGCTGATCTCATCAACAGCTTGCTAGACTTAAATATTCAAATTTACTTTTTAAAGTACACGTTCATGTACTTCATGTTCAATTCAATTTTCCAAAATAGTCATCCTCTCATTGCTAGAGCCTTAAAAAAGTATCATGGTCTCAAAATATTTAGGTTGTTAAGTGCTCATAATTATAAGCTACATTTTAAAACCACAGGTTAACCCCTCTTCTCCTCTCCAAGCCCAAAGTAACATTTAAGAAATGATGGAAAAGGTGCCAAGGTAAAGACCTCGTGTCCACGGGGACTGTTCGCGGACCAATGAGCTGTATTTCTATGTACACTTCCATCCCCTGAGCTCATCTTGAATTACTTTAAGAAAAAAGTTATGCTTTAATTAACGGTACTTTGTATCAAGGAACTCTGGTCGTCCTATATCTTAAGCATGTTCAAATCTCACAAGTCTGATTGCCCAGCAGGATTCCAATTTATCTACTACTCTTATCTGCTAACACCTCTGATCAAGGAAGAGAGCCTTTAAAACACCCGAAATAATTATTTTTGTGGAAGAGATGCTTACAAAGAGCATAATTAATAAGCAAACTAATTATTTTCCCCAGAGTATCAACATACATGGACACTTCAGGAAGGCGGTGAAAGAGGCTCTATTTGACACTTTTTTTTCTTCTTCCTTTTTCTTTTTTGCACCAGGGGCGCGGGGTGGGGGAGGGGTGGGCAGCTACACCTGGCAGTGCTCAGGGAGTACTCCTGGCTCTGCACTCAGAGATCACTCCTGGCAGGTTCGGGGGACCATATGTAGTACTAGGGATCAAACCCAGGTATGCCACATGCAAGGCAAGCGAGCGACTTATCCACTGTACTAATCTCCAGGTCCCTCTTCTTGCTATTTCTATGGCTGTCACAAATCCAGTTTACGCCCCATATTTTCATTTCTTTAGTAGATCTCGGCTGATTTTGTCCCTCTATTCGTTCTCTGTCCTTGTCTCTGCTGTGGAACAACTGGAAGTCTGGCATTTGATCCTGTGCTTCAAAGAACAGAAAATCCCACAGCACCACCTTATTTTTCCTTCTCATTCTGGTCATTTCTTTGCTTATTACGTCTTGGTCTGCTGTTCATTCCCTTCTCCCTCCTGCTAGAACCATTTCTCCTTTTTTCCCCCCCAGTTTGATGGCTTACCGCCCCCCTTCTTTTTATTTCTCTCTCTTCTCTAGTAGAAGGAAAAGAAAAGGCACAAAAGGGGGCTTGGGAACTCGATCAAACCGGATCCTAACCTTCCCAGCAAATATGTACCGGTTTCCTGCTTCAACTTCATCTTTTTGGTTTCCTAAAATAATCTTCTTTCCAACTTCTTCAAAAACATACAGAAATAATTGATATGGAACAACTTAGATTGATTTAAATTGTTCGCATCCATCCCCAAGAGCTCATCCTGAGTTATTTTAAGGAAATGACTGTTGTTAAATATGGAAGAAAGATTTGCGCTCTATACCCTTATTTGCCTTTTATATTGATGGTGGAGCACCAGGAGGTTGCCAAGACAATACCTAGATCAAGAATAGCAGTGGCTTATTCTCACTAATTAATCTGTAGCAGTTTCTTTCCCTTATTTAATCCTTACAGCCACCCAGGAGGCAAATATTCTGAATGAGGAAAGAATGACAATGAAAATAGTAGTAAGACAGAGCTAGTTGGAAGAAACGGGGCTCCCGGCTTATGGATAACTGAGCCAGGGGCCAGCACTGCTTCCGGCCCCATCTATACCCTGAGTTTTTAATTCAGCATACGTGGATTTACAGCATATGCATATACTGGGCATATCTTTGCACAGCTTTTAAGAAATGGATTTCTCTGGAGTTAGAGGAGTAGAAATCTTTTCAATAGAGAACATATTTCTCTAATACTCTGGGCATCTTTCATGCATTTTGTGGGAAAGAATGGAAAAGAGAAATAAATAACAATCAGAATAAAAAGACATCTCCTGGAGAGGGGGGGATAGCTGCCTACCACTCACCCGACAAAGTTTTAATAGACATGGTATAAAAAGCACTTGAAAAACTTAGCAACAGAAAGCAGACAACCTGAACAAAAAAAAATGGAGAGACTATATGGCCAAATATTTCCTCAAGCAGTATCTAAATAAAAAAAAAACATTTAATGGGGTATCGCATCACACCAGTGAGATTGCCACACATACAAAAAAGCAAGAAGGAAGTGGAACCCTCATCCACTGTTGATGGGAATGTTGACTAGTTCAACCTCTTTGGAAACCAATATGGACAATTCTCCATAAACTACGAATTCAACTTCTACGTGACAGAAAAAAAATCCCACTTCTGGGCAATTACCCCAATGGTCTGAAAACTATATTCTTAAAAGACTCCCGCATCTCACTGCAACACTATTCACAACAGCCCAAATCTGCAAACAACCCAACCGTTTAAGTAGAGACAACTAGTTGAAGGAATGATGGTTCGTGCACACAATGGAATACCACTTGCTTCGAAGAAAAGATAAAATTGGGCAGTTGGCCTTGACTTGGATGAACCTGAAGACCACCTTGCTCAGAAAGGTAGTAGGGAGGAGAAAGACACAAATACAGAATGATATCGCACATGGGCGGGATACACAGAAACAGAGTCAAGGAACAACAAAAGGCCAAAGGCAACAGAAACTGAGATCACCCCTTCATGGGGAAGACAGCAGGACAGGGAGGTGGTGGATTGTAGGGGACACTCTGGTAGAACTTTTGGTACCAGAACTTTGTTGTATGCATGTTGCCTTACTACGAGGAGACACTGCAGTGCTGTGAATCACAGAGCCTCAAAAAAAAATTAAAAAACATAAAGAGGGGCTGGAACAATAGCACAGCGCAGAGGGCGTTTGCCTTGCACGTGGCCAACCCCAGTTCGATTCCCAGTATCCCATATGGTCCCCTGAGCACCACCACCTGAGTGCAGAGCCAGGAGTAACACCTGTGCATCGCTGGGTGTGCCCCCAAAAGCAAAGATATAAATAAATAAATAAATAAATAACATAAAGAAGAAAAGGAATGAAAAAGAGGGAACATCAGGAACAATGTCCAAGGGAAGACAGAGTTGAAAACAGCATTTCCCCTAGATAAATGACCTTGAAATTCTCCTGGAGTAGAGGCTGCCCTTCACTTGAAACTATCCAGAAGCTCCTCATCACTCCGCCGGTCTTCCAAGGGTTTCTTGGTCTTTGCTTCCCCACTAACCATTAGGACTACCACAGCCCACAGCGGCCCTACCTTGGAAACAGACAAAACCGCAGGCTACTTGGAGAGATTTCAAAGAGAGGGTTTCTTTAAATAACCCCTTCCCCAGTGCCTCCCCAGAAGCATTCTCTCCTGTCTGGGAATTTTAAAAATGACCTCTAGAGACGGGGCCTGTGCAGTTAACTGTGTAAGCAGGTCGGATTCAAGGGGAGGAATATTCAGAGCAGGTAGGAAGACTGGAGAATTGAGGGCAGAAAAGCCATTTGGGACTTTGTGTGACCTTCCTGTAAAGAAGCCAATTAAGCTTCTCCCCAGCGCTTCCAGATTCCTCCTCGTTCTGCTTTGGTGCCAGGAACAACTTCAGGAAGAATAGAGGGAGTTTCTCTCCATACAGTTTGAAAAGAATACTGAAAGGACCATACCTTATCAGCCCCTGTCTGGAAATAATTACCATATCTAGAGAGTTTGGAAACATTCATCTTTTCCACTTGTTTCCTGCCCACAATTTTATTCCTTCAGCAGTGCTTTCAAATAACAACTAAATAAACCAAAAGATTAAGCCAGTATTCCCCAGAAAGAGAAAAATCCGCTCTGAAAGCCTTCCCCTTAACCAAATTGCCAATATGGCATTAAATCAAATGAACTTAAAAGAAAGAAAGATAGAAACAGCAAACCATAAACAGAAGGCAAGCACGTAGATAGGACAAACAGCCTCTTTGAAAACTCCCAATTTTATCAATTAATCTGGAAAGGCAGAACCCCTGTTCCCAAAGACAGAAAGAAGTACAAGTACTTACAGTGTCATGAGACTTATCCTTGACATCATACACTGTCAGCTTTATCTTGGTCTCTTCATAGATGGGATACTCAGACGGGAATGTGACACCAGTCAAGAACAGTGGGTCCCTTGTTCCCTGCAACGGCACCAGCAGACAACCTTAATTCAGTCAGCGGTAACTGAAGTCGGGCCGGGGCACGCGAGCAGACAGAGCATGTATCTGGGTCTTTGTTTTTCTAGGAAACGCTTATGTTAGAAGAGCAATCTGAATTGTCAAAGGATGCTTGTGGGCAAGGCCCTGGCTCAGGGCCCAAAGGATCAAGATAACTGTGACAGAAAATGACCCAGCAGCACTGACAGAGCTGCTAAAAATCTTAAGACAGATTTTTTTTTCCCTAAGAAACACACCACTCTTCAGGGTCCACTGACAATCCATTTAGAAAACATTTAATGAACAGAACCTATAATCTGCGCAAATAATCTGAGATGGTGACTAACTGAATGCAAATGAAGCTATTTTCTCATTAAAAAAAATTTAGAAACATTATGCTGTCCAGTGATTTCCTTTCTATAATGCCTCCATTGAAAACCATGTTCTAATCATGTGTGTTTGTTTTTAAGCATGTAGCTCTGTGTGTGTGTGTATTTTCTCAGACGGATTTGAAAATTGAGGAAAGGAAGTGTAAATATGGTTTGGGGACCTCAAAATTATTAGCTCCAGAGGCAGTGCCCATTTGGAGGAGCTGACATCCAGCAGTAAGTTTCATCTGTACTTAATATCAATATTGCCAATTATCACAGGGATGTTTGCCAGGGATCTGCAAGTCAGTTATCTGTGAGCCCTTCTGAAAGCCTTAGTCATTCACTCCTTCTTTTTTCCTTTTATTCAACCAATAATACAACTTTTTGTTTAGCGGTGCATTAGACATTTTGGAACAGGCAGCGATTATAACAGGCCCAAAAAATTGTGTCGTCCAGATAGAAACTTTTGAAATGTGTCCAAAGAAGTCATTTCTTTCTAAGTTTTTTGATGACTGTTAAAAACGAATTAAGTTGGACTAATGTTTGAATGCACTTCATTTCAATGAACACTTGTACAATTGACTCAACAGCTCTTTCTATGAATAAGATCGAAGGTCTTCATGGACTCAACGCTGGCCCAAAGCACCAAGTGTGGCAACACTAGAGCCCTAAGTTTCCAAAGGGGAGATTCATGTGCAGGATCTGGGTCAATCCCATTAGAGAAATGAGTCGAGTTCACTCTGAATCACTCCATCAACTGCATCCAGATGCCGTTAGTGCTGAGTGAGCTGAGTCTGGGAGTGAATCCACACAGAGGAACTTCACTCGGAACACACATGGCTCACACGTGGAAGTAAAGCAAGCAAAGCTTAAGGGGTTTACAGTGCCATATTCTTTTTGACCCACGTGTTCAAATAAATATCTCCCATCCACTGAGTGAGTGAAATATATATATATATATAGGATCAGAACAAAATCATCAAAAGGGAAACACTTCCTCTTCTGAATTGATCCAACGCAATAACAAGTTTCCTCCTGACACATTTTGAATGTTAGATTAGTAACAATAAATGTGAAAAGGAAATCTCTCATCAGATGAGTAATATTGACACCTTTTGCCTGGAAATATGGCCACCCTCAAATTAATCACCTACCTCTGAAAAAAAAAAAACAACTTCCTGCCTTAAAAAGACATACACAAACAGCAGAAAAGACAAAGTTTCCACCAGCAAGGCTTAAGACCAAGGCAGCGGGATGGGGATGGGAGGTTGGGGAAGGGGGGGGGGAGGGTTTGAAACTTCTCTGGGACCTTATAAATGTTTCCCCTGACCCTGCCAAATGAATATTGAGTCCACTTAATTTAGAAGTTTGTTTTTCCCTCTAGTCACTGCCCTATTTGGGGATTCCAAGCGGGAAAATTTCTTTGCATTTACTCTAGAAAAAAAATAAGATCATTTGATGGAAAAAGCCATTTTCGGCTTCTCCCATTGGTTATTCCAGAAAACCAGCAAAGCAGGTTAAATAGTCTCAGGTGGGCTGGTCTTAACGCCAGCAGACTGGACTCCAGCACAGCTGCTGGTCATTGGCTGAGTTCAGTTATTCTTACTGAGAGTGACAGAGAGAGAGAGAGAGAGAGAGAGAGAGAGAGAGAGAGAGAGAAACCAAGAGAGGAGAAAGACACACATAGAGACAAACACAGAGAGAGAAGGAAGGAGGAAGAGAGGGGGAATGAGAGAGAGAGAAAGAGAAAGAGAGAAAGAGAGAGAGAGAGAGACTAAGACACAGAGAGAGGGAAGTTAAAGAGGGGGAGAGAGAGGGAAAGAGAGAGTGAGAGGGAGGGAGAGACAGAGAGGAGAGAGAGGAGAGAGGGAAAGAGAGAGGCCAAGAGAGAGGGAAAAAGACAGAGAGAGGGAGGGAGAGAGGGAGGGACGGAGGGAGGGACACAGTGAGAGAGGGAAAGACAGAGAGAGGAGACAGGGGAGAGAGACAGAGAGAGGGAGAGACAGAGAGACACACTCACAGAGAGGGAAGGAGGGAAGGAGGGAGGGAGGGAGGGTGGGGGAGAGCGCGCAGGCTCCCAGCAGGCTCACCTCTACAATTTCCGTGCTGGAGTATCTGCTGAGCCCCTGCTCGGCGGGGTGGATCACCGAGATCTGCACTAGGGTATTCAGCTTGCGATCCCGGCCGGGAGCCACCAGATCCTTGCAGGCTGGCGAGGGCAAAGGAAAGAGAAAAGAGAGAAAAGAAAAGCCACTGACGCACCGGATCGCAGGCAAAACTTGTCCGGGGCTTGCAAGTCAACTTAGGAGGCGCTGGAGGAAATCTCCCGGGACTGCGGATCGTACAGAGGAAGTCCCTTGGAAGTACCTTACAGAAATAGGAAGTCACGTGCTGCCGAGCTGCATTCAGAGTTCATTTCCACTGACCACATGTGCAGCTGATGCGAGTCCCCACGCCCGGGGATCTCAGCCCCCAACGTGCGACTCCACACGCCGCCTCCCTCTCTCGGCGCCTGCCCGGGGCTTGACCGGCTGCAGTCACTTAGGCTGGGCTCTCATTCACGATCCAGGACAGGGCAGTCCTGACAGGCTCTTTCTTGGGAAACCCGACTCCGTCCCTTCTGGGCACTGGCTGGCTGCAGCTAGCAAGGCACTGCTTGGTTCTTGCCTCTCCGTGTGCCAGACTTGGGCTCATGCAAGCAAGGGCGGAAACTGCAAGGAGTCGGCATAAACTTTAGGTCACTGCAGCACACAAAGGGAGGCGGCAGCTGAGGGGTTAAAAATGACCTGTCTGGGATTCCAGCCCAGCCCGGGAGAGAAATGTGGGACTAGGATAGGTTAATACTTGACCCGGGGCCACAAATGTTAAGAACTTCCCCTTGAGACACAGGGCTCACATTACAGGGCGCTCATCATCATACCATATTTGCTGGAGTATTTTCTCCTCCTACATATTATTCCCCTCCTGCCTGGGAAGAAACTCCCTCAAAAGTACTCCCTTTCAGCAAATGTGACTTTTGCTCAGTCAATTCTCTTCTCTCCCCCACCCTGGTTTTCTCTAATAATTTTATCACCTGCATTTGGAACTTCCAGAGTGAATCATCTCCAAGGGTCCTTATGAAAACTGAGTTCAGGTCAGGCTGAGCCCTGGATTTCCTGATGAGCGTTTGCTGGATTCCAGACCCCAGTTCCTTAACCTGGGGGGTTCTCAAGCCCCAAAACTTGCTAAACATGAGTTTTGAAATCAATTTCTTTGCCATTTATTATCAGAAAGCGTTTCATCTGTGTGCTTATTTTGATATACCTGTTTACTCTGGGGCATGTAAAAATTTCTCAGGCGAAAAGAGGTTTGAGAAGACCAAGTTTAAGGCTGTTTCTGGTCATCTCTAGCCTGGCCCCTGGTCAGCTGTGCTGCAGGAACTGAGAGACAGGCTGCAGCTGTTCTCTCTCAGCTTAAAGTCACCCTGACAGAAACCATAACTTCCACCTGAAGCACGAAAAGCAAAGGACTTTCTCAATCCACCTTCCAATGACTCACAAATCATCTCATTTGGAGAAGCAGAATGGGAGGGGAAAAAAGTCAGGAGCCCTGGACTGAAACAGGCTGGGTTTTCATCCCGTTCTTCTCACAGAGCTATGCTAGGCAAATCATTGAAGTTCTTAGCTTCTGGGGGCCAGACCTAGAGATCCTTCCAGTCCTGTATGGAATACATTTATCCTGATTTGAACACCACAGGCCTTGAGTGCACAAGGCATGGGGTGCCCAGGAAAGCAGAACGAGAAAAGTGAAGAGCAAAAAGTAAATATTTTATATATTGAGCGCTCACGATTTCGGGGGGCATCTTGCTAACATCTCTTAAATCTGCCTGGAATCACTTTGTTGGTTGTGCATGTCAAGGAGAGGTTTAGAGACAGGAAGTGCCGCCCCCAGGATCCTCTGAGCTCCTTGGCATCGGACCCTGTCAGCTCCCTTTCTTTCTGTGAGTATAAACTGTTCTAGTGCACAAGAGCACCATTGGAAGATCCACTGTCACGATTACTGTCCAGCCCAAGATGCGCCATTTAGAAAAACACTGACATGAGGTTTTTTGTTCGGTTAGTTTTGGTTTGGGGTTTTTGGGTTTTTTTGTGTTGTGTTTTTTTTTTTTAAATGTCAACTTATCACCGGAAGGAAGAGGGGGGGGAAAAAGCTACACTTCGACTTGCTGCTCTAATTTAGTGGTTGATTTGATCATATTCTTGGTGTGTGAACATTTTCAATTTTATCCTGGGTCTCTCGGTTCTCTGCTCATGGTGGGCAGGTCTCTCCCCATTGACTTTTAAAACCTGGCTTTTAAAGATGAGATTACTTTGTCCTGGACGTGGGGCATCTTGGCTACCTTCTGCCTCGTGGACTCATGGCTCTCTCTGCGTGCAGATATCTTAGTTCACAACAAGTCTTTCCTCTGATTTCTTATCAGGCTTGAATGTGGGCTGTGGTGAGTTCCCAGAAATGAGCTATTTTGTCATAGAAACTCCTAGACTCACCGCTATGCAAACAGAAAATCTTCACTAAATTGAAATGTGCATCCAACCCAATTTGTAGAAAGCTCAATATCAATGAAGTGAAAATAAAAAACAGTAGCACTTTGGGTTGCTTTAAATTTTCTCTGTATGTATAAAAAATAGGCATAAAAACTAAGTTGTATATTGGACCATACATATTTCTTTTCTCCCTAACAATTCAAAGTATTTAGTGTCTGGAAAACCCCCCAAACCAATCAGAATTTCTGAGCCATATTCCCAGTTTTCCTCTCCTCCGGTTAGGGCAACTGAGTCACAAACTCTTACATCCTCAATTCCCTCTTCTGTCTGTTGCTCAGGTTTGAGGCAAGGAAGATGGGAGGACCTTTAAATGAATGAACTTTGCTATGCAAAAAATAAAACTCAACTAGCATCACTGTCTGTCTCAAGATGAACAGCTTCTAATACTTGCTGCTTTATTGTTTTGATAGCACAGCGGGTAGGGCGTTCGCCTTACAAGCGGCCAACATGGCCGACCCGAGTTCGATTCCTCCGCCCCTCTCGGAGAGCCCGGCAAGCTACCGAGAGTATTCGATATGCCAGACACAGTAACAACAAAGTCTCCAATGGAGACGTTACTGGGCCCGCTCGAGCAAATCGACGATCAACGGGAGGGCCTTATTGATTGATTGATTATTGTTTTGTAAAATGGTGCTTCTTGAGTTAGCCACATTCCGAGGACTCCTTCAAAGTTATCAGACCCAATATTTCTCTGTAAATGCCAAACTAGTAGATGAGTCACAGCATTTCATAAAGCGAAACCATACACACCACCGATCTATACATACTGAAACTGTCCCACAGAAGGAGTGATAAATGATGAGTGATTGGATTACTTCATGGACCGATTACTCATCTGATCACCTGAAAGCCTAACCTGCATAGGAAAATTTTGATAATCTGAAGAAGCAGCATTTGTTTTCAGGCACTTAAAATCTGTTCTGGCGAACTTTCAACATAGCTACCACCACATAATTACCCAAACACGAATGGCCTGAAGGATGCCTTCCTCATCTCCTAAGACAGAGTGGAATGCAATGCTTTGCGGGGAGATGGGGAGGGTTTGTTCCTGCATTGCATGGTTGAAGAATTCTTGACTCAATAGAACCACAAGTGTTTTTCAGCACTCACTTTCATTACTGGATTTATACTTGTATTTCTGCATGCTACAGGTTTTGTTTGGAATTGAGCAACTTAAAAGGATTCCTATAATCCAGAAGAGTTTGAGTGCATAAGACGTAGATATACTGGGATTTGGGATGTCCATATGCCCACCAAATGGACTTCAATTTTGTAGAAGGGGAAGACTAAAGATGTAGAATTATTTTTAAAATATCTAAGTTTCAACTTTTATTCAGAAAAGAATGAAGGAGCGATGATTACTCATTATTTCCTGTTAACTGTGCCACAGTAAACAGCGATGCAAGGCAGGATGCACTTTCATTTACCAGTGGTGGTGTTGAGTGAGGTGCCTGCAGGAGCTCCTGCTAGATCTCTACAGGAGGCAGTCAACTCTTACTCCACACCAAAGAAGTCCTCAGTAGAAGTGCAATGACAAAAATAAACAAAGCTTAGGGGGAAAGCAGGGTTCTCAGCAAACTGGCAAGTCTATACCATGTCAGAAAGGGCCCTTTATTCAAATTCATTGCTCAAGACATGAAAGCGCACTCTGGCTTGATTTTAGGATTGGTCCGAAGCTTAAAATCCCATTAGTGTAAGAGCCTTGCAAAATACACCCGGAGGAGATTGGACAAAAGAATCAGAAGTTGCTGACCTCTAGAGGCTCAGAGAGTCCAGATCATCGTTTGCTCCTCTAGTTCCAGTATTTGAGAGTCTAGCAGCTAAAGGGAGGGGGTCCTCGAGGCTCTTTTTGAGTGAAGTAAACATTGCGTCTGCCCCCAAATAGGTCCTTGTGAAAGACCTGTTTTGTTTCACTCAGCGATCATCTCCAGACGATGTCAAATCTATTGTGTCCAGAGAGCCTTTCCAGCGTGGGAGCCAACTCTGGCTGGCAGCCAAAAATGTCTTTTGCTCCTTCTCCCAGATTGCAGCAATCATCCACTTGACGGAAAACACAACTCTAAGTTCAGGTGCCCCCTTTCAGATCAGCCACTCTGGCCAAATCCTCGCCAGTCTCAACCCTGCACTGGCCATGGTGTGACAAAAGTCAGCATGTACCTGCCACAGGTATAAACAAGAGTCGGGCTGTGTGTGCCAGGGGGCATGTGAGCTCACTGTCAAAGCAGTACATTTGCATTTCTCCCCTAAGGAGGCTTCCTTCCGTGGCCCCAGGACCTTATTCATGCTTTTGCTCATCTCATGTCTCTTTCCATTCCGTGCATGTGGCATCTAATGAAGTTTATTCTCTCTCCTTTAGAACACAGCAATGGCCACCAGCAGAGGAAGCAGGGCAGGAGGGCTTGGACATGACTTTGCACAGCCCTACAGTGTTGTTCTCAAAGGACCCCTGGGAACGTTGCACTTGGAGGAGTAACTGCACCACTGTGGAGAGCTGTTTCCCAAAGTGAGTGACAGCGCCCCCTGGGAGCACTGGAGGATCCTGATCCAGGACAACAGTTTGTCCTGGAAGGATTGGAATGGAGCACTCTGTTCTTGGCTTGAACATAGAGGGAGCAGTGCGTGATTC